GAAAATGCAAGACTCTATTAAATTTTTTCACATATTCTATGTTGTTCCTAACAAAACTTTAAGTTGTGTATCCGTCACTATTAGGTGCCTTAAGATGCACTGAAGGGCTAGTATATTTTTCTCAAGTTATATAAAGACATTGTTTTCAAAAGGTTATAGTTTGCATCCTGTAGTTCAGCAGGACATTTTATAGACCTTACAGCCCTTTTCCATGATCCTTGTCCCATTCCCAGTTTGTAAGTTTAACACCATCTGGCCAGTTCCTGTGCTGAGGGTATCAGCCTCCTTATCTTGTCATCTACTCTTACTTCCCAGAGTATTAAAATTGGCCATAAGCTACTTCTATGCTCGCTTTTATGTCCCAGTGATCGTATTTGCTTAATAACCTTAAGCTGCCAACAGAAGATGGTGATGGTCTTTTAAAATATGGAGTCAGTGTCATTTTTCACATATTTGTGTTCTATAAGGTCAGCATGAATAGTTGGTGAATACTGAGCCATTTTTCCTAGAGAAAATGGGGGTTAGTTTCCTATAAGGCTCAGTTGTATTTTTGTAATCAATTAATATATAATCTTATTTTAATCATTTTTCTGTTTAAAGATACTTTGCGTAAATTGTTAATACATTAACTCACAGCTAACTGCATTATAACCCACACTTAAACATAGCTTATCTAATGTATTTTTCTTCACGAGCCACAACTCATTTAAGGTTTCTTTGTTGTTGTTGTTGTTGGGGTTTTTTTTTTGTTTGTTTGTTTTTTAGATAAGAGTCTCAAGGGCTGGCCAGGTAGCTCAGCAGATTAAAGCACCTGCTTAGGCAGATGCAGGGGCTGGGAGTTCAATCTTTGGCCTGCCAGTGCTGGCCCTGCCCCCCAGGGCCTGCTGAGATGCGCCTGTAATCCCAGTGCTTGGGAGGCTGAAAACAGGAGAATCGCTATAAGTCCAATCTACCTAGTGAGACCTTGTACTAAATACATTAAAAAAAAAAAAAAAAAAGGTCTCACTATTTAGGCTGGCCTTGAACTCACAGTGGTCCTCTTGCCTCAGCCTCCCAAGTCCTGGGCCTTGACGAGATTCTCCAAAAGCCAGTGCTAACTCCTGAAAGCAGAACCTATATCCCATCTTCCAGCAGAGGTCCCTAGCACTTGCCTGTAGAGCGGCAACCTGCCCAGCCCAACCCTCACCGCCAAGCACACCCCCAGCTTGCTTCACCTTCTTGCTGCAGAAACACATGAGTACTTACTATTCTAAACTGTGACATCGCCCCCACCGCCAAAAAAAGTGCAAAAGAACATGGCAGTAAATGGACTGATAGAAGGGCGCTTACTGATAGTCTGAAAGCCAAAATCAAAAGTCAGCGCATCACCCAGGTCAGCTTCACCTGGGAAAATGACTGAGGCAGCTGGTGTTTCTTTGTTCCGTGTGTATCCGTGAATAACCATGAAATCCCGCTACTGATTTCTGGGATTACAAATAAACTGTAGTAGGCAGGCAGATTCACCAATATGGCATATGCAGATAATGAGATCTGACTGGAATTCCTTACAAAGCACTGATCTCATGGGAGCTCCTCCACAAGTGAAGGTGACAGATGCTCAGCTAAGGAGCACTTGTTCCCTGGGAGCATGGTATGGAACAGAAGTTGTTAAAGTATAGAAACCTTGGAAGGGTAACAGTAACCAAGCTAGAGCAATGAATGCCCTAATGGGAGAACCTTACTCTGTCAGAATCACTGTTTCCTGGGAAAGCGCATTCCAAATTCCAGCTGCATCCCAGGGTCCTTGGTTCCAGTGATGAGTGATCCACCACACTCACCTACCATGTAGGATTCGGGGCTCGGTGTAGAGCTGTAGGGTTGGGCTGGGCGGGTTGCCGCTCTACAGACAAGTGCTAGGGGCTTCTGCTGGGAAGATGGGTTATGGGTTCTTCTTTCATGAGTTACCACTGGCCTTTGGAGAATCTCCTCATGTCATGGTGGGCAGTGCAGCCCAAAGTCAAACAGAAGTCATCTTCTCGGGAAAAGATGGCTCTCCTAGAAATAAGACCTAGAAAAGATGGCTCTCCTAGAAATAGGCAGGCAGATCCATTGATCTCTGCTTCATGAAGGCTTTTCCTGTCTACCTTAAGGTTCCAATTGTAGAAGACAAAAAACAGAAATGCAAGTCCCATTCTTCTCTGGGTAATAAGCCATGGTAGGCTCAGTATTTTCATACAAGGTTACTTTGTAATATTGAACAGATGAGTGTATCTGTGTTATGTTCACTTTTATTCACTTAATGCCTTAAAGTTCAACATGAAATAATGATGATTCAGACAAGAAAATATGTGCTAGTATGCTAAAGACTAAAGAGGACTGTAGCGCATAGATGAGGACCTAGAATAGTTACATTCATAGAAGGAGAATAAAATGATGCTTGCCAAGAGCGGGGAGCAGAAGGAAAGTGGGCACTTGGTGTTTATGGTGTGTAAAGTTTCGGTTATAAGAGATGAACGAGCTCTAGAGATCTGCTCTGCAGCATTGTGCCTGTAGTCGGCAGCGTGGTCACTTTAACACATGTTAAGTGAGTAGATCGCACATTCTACTCCTTTTAAATTATGACTCCCCTGAGCTTCTTTTCAATAATAGGTTTCTTTGGGAGGGAGGTAATAAGATCTTCAGCCTTTTTGGTATGTTTCTAAATTATTATTTTATTTATTTAGTATTTTAGGACAGGGTCTACAGGGTCTTACTATGCAGATCGGACTTGTAGTGATCTGCCTGTGTTCAGCCTCCCAAGAGCTGGGATTACAGGCATGCGCCACCATGCCATCTCAATTGCTGTCTCAGTGCGCCCCGTGGCAGAGCCCCAGTACACTTGGGATTGAACCCCAGCTGCTGTGTCTGCCTCAACAGGCGCTTTAGTCTGCTGAGCTATTTGGCCAGCCCTCTCAAATTATTTTTTAATGAAAAATAAGAGAATAGATATTAGATTTTAATTCAGATTTTTAATTTAATAAAGTGATGTTTTAATGTCTAACCATTTTTTATACCTTCCCCCCACCCAAGAAAGAATAGTGTATACTCTGTTTCTAGTAAATAGACTGCATACAAGGAACCAGTTTTGCAAGTCAGAACTCTTCTGTTTCCTTCCTTAAATGTTGTCTAGATTGGGAGACCACTGCATATGCAACACGTATTTGAAATTTAAAGCACACAGCAGCCAATTGAAGATTCAGAAGTATAGCTGCAAAAAACTTGCTTAACTTTATTTACCAGCTTTTGTATATTTTTTGGCATTAAAACCATATTTTTCCAGGGCCTCATAACTAAGGAACAGTTACGGGAATCAGCTGGACTCTGGCAAGATGGGGTGTATGTGTGTGTGTGTGTCTTAGTCTCAGACCTTCCCTGCATGTGTCTGTGTGGGGTGTATGTACAGCTTAAGATACACACACACACACACACACACACACACACACACGTATATAGTAAAAATAGTACTCAGACTAATAGTCCTTGTTTTCGAGATGACCAAAAGTCGTTTTTGTGCTTTCTGGAGCAAGCCATTCATTCCTTCTCCTTCGCTTCATTTGTGTTCCAGCCTGTTCACCAAGGTAACCAGGTAGCCCAGAACTGTCTTAGATCTTCTAAGACAGCTAGTAAGGGTTAAGCTGTTTTTCACAGTATTATTTTATAAGAAAAAATTTTCATATTGAGTAAGCTTTTAATATTAGTCATTAATCCCTTAACACCAGTGCTATTACAAACCTTAAATCCAAATGTTCTCTTAAGTCAATGTTTATTGCATCTTATAAACTTTAGCATTTTTTTTAAAACAAAGCAGAACACAAAACAATGGACAAACAAAATAAATCCTAAATTAATTATAAGGACAACGTGGGAGGAGTTGAGTTTTTTTAAGAACTGTGTGTAATTGATTGTTAGCAGGATAGTAACACGCAGATCAAAAGGTGAACTCAAGGCATTTGATTTGACTGGACAGTGCTAGGCATGGGAAAATTCTGCTTGGCAAATAAAAAATCAAGCACTTGGCAAAAGTAGGAAGTAGAAAGGTGATGGTTTATATTGTTCAAATAACTCTTATAATTTAATAAAATTAACAGACCCCACTAATTAAGAAAGAAATAGTGTTTCATCCACTAGGAAGTTGAGAGCCTTCAAAGAAAGGCATTTCCTTCAGCCGGGCACACCGGCGTTCGTGCAGCGCGTGGCATGGGCATTTCCGGGACAGGGCCACACTCGCTGTCCTGTGGGGAGGCAACGGGCACACTAGAAAGGCTGCCAACTGGGTTAGCGGGTCTCCTGGTCAGTTGTTTTAAAACTGTCACTGTGCAGTACAGGCAAGGTTATGGCAATTGGTTGTGCCATGTAAGACCCCTAAAATGATAGGTAATTTTTTTTTTCTTTTTTAAACCTCAGGACTACCGTGATGAATGAGTTCACAAAAAGAGACAGGGAAAAAAAAGCATATGCATCGAGCAACAGGGCTTATGCAATGAGAGTGTTTAATCCAGGGAGTCATCACATAATTAATTTGTTATTATGACAGTGGTAGTAGTGACGTGAAGCATCATCATGACTGGTAAAGTCAGTTCTGTAAAGTGAGTAGGCATGTGGCCAGACACATGCCTGCGATCCTAGCACTCAGGGAGACTAAGAGAGGAAAACAGCAGACAGCCTGGGCAACTTGGTGACCTATTGAGACCTTAAATAAAGGATCAGGGGTGTAATTCAGCAGCTCAGCAGCTGCCTGCCAAGTGCACACTTGTAAGTTCAATACCCAGCACCAAAAAATAAAGAGCTAAGTATGTAGCTCAGTACAAAGGCCCTGCATTGTATTCCAGTACTGGAGAAAAAACAGGCAGGCTTGAGAGTCTTAATAATAGTGGGGTTATGGTTTATTAAAGTTTATTTTGTTTCATGTAATAGTTTAGATAACGATGTTATGCAACAAATATTGGTTTCCTGTATTATAAGTTGTATTTTCCTTTTTTTAGCTGACTACAGACTGCCTTTTCCGTGCCCTGGGAACCAGAGACATGACCTGACACCCTGATGACCACTCTCGGGGCCTTTGGGTAACTGGCCAGTGCACCATGGAACTTAAAGTATGGGTGGATGGAGTCCAGAGGATCGTTTGTGGGGTTACAGAAGTCACAACTTGCCAGGAGGTTGTCATAGCCTTGGCCCAAGCTATAGGTAAGTGAGCTCCGTGGGGGGCTGCGAGATAAAACTACTTTATGACTCTTTTAGGGACATGTGTTTGTGTGCGCACAGGTGGTTTCCTTACATGCAGGTCTCGTGGCTTTTGTTAACTTGGTTCCATAATGAATCTCACAGATAAGGCATGCTTTGCTTTACCACTTGCCCCTGTCTAGAAAATCTGTGCTATTTGTTCTGCGATACTCCCTGTCCCAGACCTAAGTGACCTTGGCTGTAGCACCAGCGCTGTCTTCTCACTTGGTGTTTATCCTAGACTGTGATTTCCGGAACTGTGGGTGTTTTCCCAATCCAAAACACAGATTCCTACTTCCCAGAACCCCTCGTAAGGAAAAATCCTATCATTGTCAATTTCTCAATACTTTTAGATAAAACAGTACAACAAACTAAATAACATGGTTCTTTATTTGAAAGATAACATACAATTTTTAAGACCTACTGTACAGTGAAAAGGAAGTTGTGTCCATGTTTACTGGCACATCTCCCGGCTCCAGTTATCCTTCTCACGGCTTCTCTACTATTTCTACTAATTTATTTTCTTGGTCTTTATCATAGTTTATGTATGTTTATTAGTTAGGAGAAGGGTTTTTGGAACATGATGAGGGTATGAACACCTGTCTCAGTGAAATGAGTAACGTGGGTTAAAGTTTCTGTGTGCGTCCTCCTTTATGGATAGCAAAGATGAATCAAGAGAAAATTCTGTGTCCTGCATACTCCATGCCTCGTTTTGAGTACCCTGTGGAGCTTGTCGTGCGCTTCCTGGGTTGCGATGGAAGCGTGTCATGCTGGAGCAAGACTGCAGCGAGCTCTCTGTTGCCAGTACCTGGTAGCATTTGACAAAGGTACCTGCGCCACCCCGGCTCATGGCAGGCGAACTGCTCGAAGTTGGCAGTGTCCTATGCCAAGATGCTTGGTTTTTTGATACTGATAGCTTCTCATTTTTCCATAAATATTGTACAGTGTCTGTATATCATCAAGAAATATATTAAAATTCTTTAAGATTTAATTTTTTCACTGATAAGGATAATCATATCTATACTGGTTGACTCATAGAACTAAGATTATATCTCTACTATGACTATGTAAATATGTATCTATTATATATAATTATATATAATAGATACATGTATCAAAATATTTTATAGACTATAAAATGTGGTAATGTTAGTTCTGTTACAGAAATCACTAATTACAAGGGTTTTTTTGTTTTTTGAGTTTTGTTTTTTTTTTTTCAGAACTGGGGATTGAACTCAGCCCTTTACACTTGCCAAGGAAGCGCTTATTCTACTGAGCTATCTTCTCCCCAGCCCCTAAACAAGTCTTTTTTTCTTTTTTTGCAGAACCAGGGATTGAACTCAGGCCTTTGTGCTTGCCAGGCAAGTGCTTATTCAACTGAGCTATCTCCCCAGCCCAATCATAAGAATATTTTTTTTTTGCTTTTTGAATTTTTATTTGAGCAATTATAATTGTAACAATAAGAAAAAAAGTCACATTGATTCAAAGATAACTTTGGATTGGACAAAGAAAATACAGGAATATATTTGAGATAAAAAGGAAATAAACTTTGTATCAGTAAGAATTGTTATTGGTAAATTTTAACAAGTTCATCCAATAATGTATCAAGTTGTGTGTTATAGGCTTTCTCTTTTTCCAACCTGTGAAATTATAAATTTTAGTCTAAAGAATTTCTATAGATGATATATTACTGTTAATGGGCTTTGCAGAATCACCTTTGATCTTTTCTTATTAGAACTTTGTTGTCTCTCTGTCTCCCTCTCACTGTCTCTCTGTCTCACTGTCTCCCTCTTTTATGCATTTTCTCAGTTTTTGATATTACTTTCCTTAATTGTACATGGCTGCTGTTTTTAAATTCTTTCATTTAGCAATCATTATTGCGCACGTTTGCTTGTAATACATCTTCATCTATTACATTCACATGAAGAATGTGTGTTATGGCTTATACCGATACACACATGCACTTGCACCTTAGAAGCGATTCATATTTGTATACTCTCTTTTTTAAAAAAATTATTTGTTTATTAATTTTATTGAGAAACAAATAGTAATGAGACAGTTTTAAAACAGGATAGTAGGACAGTTACAATAATTAATGCATTGCATATTGTTGTCTTCGTAGTATTCGTAGTATAAGATGAAGACATGATATCCTGTCCAAACACTGTTAGTATAAATCATACTTCTCATTGAATTAGGAGAATGTAGCAATCATAGGAATTTCAGGGCCAGAGAGATAGCTCAGTAGAATAAGCACTTGCCTGGCAAGTGCAAGGTCCTGAGTTCAGTCCCCAGTACTGGGGAAAAAAAAAAAGAATTTTAAGTCGTAATGGTAAGTATGTATACAAAATTCTGTATGATAATCCTGAAGTATGCAATAGATTTTATAAAATTCTCAAGGAGCAAAACATCTTATTGGAAAACTTCAGTGCTAATGGGTATCATATTCTCCATAGATTTCAAAAACAGGCAAGTGTAACTAATATTTCTAATATGTCTAGAAACACAGGGCTGTGTTTGCATTCCATTCATAAGAGACTAGTGCCAGCTAGCCTGTTTTCTTGAATAATATACAGTGTTCATCTTCAGCATGGGGCAGATTTGATAATGAAGGAAAAAATCAAGTGTCAAAACTAAAATTTACTATGGAGCCACAGAGGAATGTGATCGATGATGTATAGTGTGCCTGGGGAGAGTCACATGGAGAGAAAAAACATTCTCTCAGGCTTTCACAGAGAACAAATTGGTCAAGCAATGGCTATGACTCATCCTCATGGCTGACGCTGACAAAGGAGCTACAAAGTGCGGTACGGGGCTACAGGATAAATCCTGAAAGTACTTGACTGACCTAATCAGATACAAAAGTTACATTTCTTGGAATATAGGTCTTGCTTTATCTTGGTCTTAACCATCCAGCAGAAAAGTATAAAAACAAGATATATAAAGTAAAGCCATATTAATACGATGAGCTGTTAAAGGATCAACTCAATAACTTCTGAGGATAACCCACTAATATTATAGACTGCTGGACAGTGTTGGATTGTTTAGCTGAATTCAAACACCTATAGTATTTAGATGCCAATAGAATATCCACCTCTGGCAGAACAAAAAAATTTTTTTTAAAAAGGAAAGATCATTTTGTATTTATATATGCAGAATAGTTAGGATAGATATACCTACCTTCACTTAATTCAATGAGAAGAAAGAGGTGTACTAATAGTGTTTGGACAGGAAATCCTGTCTGCTTCTTATACTATGGATAACCACTAAGAAGATAACAATGCACAATGTATTGATTATCGAAACTGTCCTACGAATCAGCTTTGAAACTGTCTCATTCATATTTATTTCTCAATTTAAAAAATGCTGCAAAAAAAAAAAGAGGAAGCAGAAAAAAAAAACTTAAAAACAGGGTTAGTAGTCAAGATGTGTAATAGATTCTACATTTCCAGGGCCTAGCGCTATTTCTGGTAAATGTTTTGTGTTCAGTATGTATTTCTTGAAGAAATAACAAAATGCAACTTTTAGGTGAGGGTTTTGTGTCACTACTCTGAAAGCAATTGTGGAAATTGTGATTTTCTAAAAATGGTTGTATAAGGCTATAAGTTTTAGGGTGACCTATATTTGACTTTGAGTTTTGGTGTCTATTTTCAAGTTTTTTGTATTATTACTTCATAGAAATATAGTTTCTATTAGTTGGGTGAAAGTAATATGTTATCCTGTTTCCTTTTGATTTGTGTGAGCCTTCCAATAAAATTCTATGGTACATTAAAATCTCTGTTTGTAATTTTGGTCACTGTATGACATTAATGATGCTTGAGATTAGGCTCAATTGTTTCAGCTATTTATAAATAAATCAGTATTTTATTTGCAGTAGCTTAATTCGGTAACCCTGTCTGACAGTGGCACCCACCCCACCACAGGCAGCTTAGACTACCATGCTGTAGGCAGACAGAGACAGCTACAGAAGTGCTCCTCTCCTTAGTGTCAGGGCCACACCAAGGTAGTGTTGGAGGCAGAACTAAATGTGTCACTCAGTAAAGTGTGCCCAGATGAGTTGTGCAGGAGGCATCAGAATCTAACCTTTCATCTAGCTTGTATAGCGTGGTGATTCAGTTAAAATTCGTTGCTGGCCTGATGGAATTGGAGGAGTCTCTTCCCGTCTCATCTGACCTCCGTGTTACTGAGGACAGGATCTGCATGGCATGGCCAACTACGGGTTTTAAAAACAATGGTTGTGGAATTTAATTCCATTACAAAATATTTAAAACTCAATTCTTACAATGAAATCAAATCATTACATTCATTTATTCTTTTTTTTTTTCAAAGTTTTATTGACAAACAGATAGCAATGAGACAGTTTCAAATCAAATCGGAAGGACAGTTTCAACAAATAATACACTGCATATATTCTTCTTAGTGGTTAATTGCT